CCCATCGCAGTGCTTCTAATATCCCTGAGAGCCCCAATGCCCCAGGGCCATCCAGGGCTTGTGACAGCCAAGACACACTCCCACAGATTTTGAAAACTCCCCCTGAGGAGAACCACCTCTTAACATGGCTTTAACTTGTTTCCCCCTCTCTCTCTCTCTCTCTCACATAAAACACCCTTGAACATTGCTCTCAAAGCATTTTGGGGAATACATTTCTGAAAGTTTATAGGCCTTGTAATTTTCCTGTTAGGTTCGTTCTCAACTATTATTACATGATTTTTGTTATTGTAAAGGAGGTCCTTTTTTTATTTTCTGTTTACTATTGCTGGTGTGTAGAAAAGCTACTGATATCTGTGGCTTTTCTTTATTTGGGTATCTTAATGAGGTACTCTTATTCTAATATATTTCCAGCTGGGTGCTGTGTTAATCTACTTAGATAATTATACTTTAAATAAATATTACTTTTGCCTCTTCTTTTTGTTATGTTTGCAGTTGATTTTCAATTTAATTGGCAGGAATACTTGTTTCATACAGGTTTATTCCTCAGTGTCTCTAACAATATATGCACTTGGTAACTTTTTTGGATTTTTTTGGGTAGGGAGTGGATTATTGAGCAGATTTTCAGTTTACTTTCATGATCAGGTTTGTTTGTTTTTGAACCTATCTTAGTAAGTTCTGTTTTTTCACAAAATCCATTTGTTTTCAAATTTATTACAAATTTGTGCATTATATTTTCTTATTTTATATAAAATACACTCTCCATGCCTGTAATCATACCACTCTTTATATTCCCAGTTTTGTTTGCTTTTCTTTCTTTGCTTTAAATATAAGACCAGTTTTCTTTTTAAAATTTTTATAGGTAACATGATCACCCAATTCCAAAATGTAAATATATCGGTGTGCAGACAGCACTATCCACCTCCTCCCACATCCTGTCTAGTACTCACTCCTCCCCAAGCCCTCGAAAGGTGGCCACTACTGCTGATTTCTTAGGTATTCTCCCAGCGCTCCTTTATACATGAAAATGAATATATGTTATCTTCCATTTTTCACAAAAGTTAGCATGTACTATACATTGTACACACAGAGTTCCTCATTCATTTTTACAGCTGCAATATTTTCCATTGTAGGAATGTACCAAATTTATATATAACCATGATTACATTGAGTTGTTTGCAAGCTTGCAATTTAAACCATTGTGTTATTGTGTCTATAGACCAAATCCTGACACAGTAGGTGGTGGGAACTCCCTTTTTTGGCTACATGTTGTTAAATTGCCTTCCGTAGAGGTTGTAGGATTTACCTTCTGCTAGTAAAGTGCAAAAGGGCCCATTTTTCCTAGGGACTTTGTGTCAAATTAGTATGAAAGTCAAACATATTTGTTCTCATCTACCCTTAAGTCTTTAAAAATTTATGGTGTTTGAGTCAAGTTTATTGAGGTATAATCTCCATGCAGTAAATTCACCCTTTTTACTGTGTAGTATGCAGTGTAATTTAAATTTACATGTCTTTTATTATAAGCACAATGTGTTATTTTTATAATTACAAGGAGAGAGATTTTAAAACCCCAAAATGTAATGAATGAAACTTCTAAATAACGTTCAGTTTGCACATTCTTCTTTCAACCTCAGCAAATTTTGTCCATTGGCAAATTCAGGGCACACAGAGCAAGACAAAATGATTGTGCATAATGTGTTCTTGCCAACTTCGGAGCAGCACAGTAAGACAAATGGACTGTCAAGATGGAAAAGCTTAACTGGGAAGATACATTTATTGACTAATTGAAGGAAAAGAAAATGCATTACCGATCAGCCACAAAAAAGTATGACGCCTAATCAGCTCTTCAAGGGACTCCTGTGAATGGGGAGCCCCAAAGTTCCTACCAGACTTCAAACCTGCCAGTTGCCTTGCTTCCAGGCTGCAGCACCAGGGCAGTGATGGATGGATGATAGCCTTCAGGTTCAGTGAGCCCTTCCAGCAACTCTTTGTAGCTTTCCTGACGTTTTGCACTGTTTATATACACTTAAATATTTCATCTGGATCCTGGGTTTGCCATTACCTGCTTTGCTTTAGGACTTTCGCATCTTAGGGGACAGCACAGTATAAATTAGGGAAAAAGCACTTAGTAGGGGCAGAGTTAGGATTACAACTTAAGTCATTGGATTTACTTAGCAGCCAATGACCTCCAGTGAGTAAGTACCCTGCCTTCTGTGTACTGACTCCTGAACTGTCCAAGCAGTGGATTAGATCCTTGCTCCTAATAGGTAGTCCAAGCATCAACATCCCATGGGAGGTTCTGAGAAAGTCAGACTCTGGAGCCCCACCCCAGCCATGCTGAACTAAAAATCTGCCTTTTAGTCAGATCTGCAGTGACTTGTAGGCTCAGGAGAGTTTGAGGAGTGCTAGGATGGTTTTCCAGCCTCTGGTCTTGTTCCAGAATTCTACCCTTCTAGGTTCCTAGTCCTTCATCACAGACTGGTCCATACAAATATGCAGGGTTTACTGGAGAGGTTCTGGCCTGCCTTTACCTCACCAGTCCTCACTGATGGCCATGCCTCCCAAGTCTCTAGCTGTGTTTTACTTGGTTCTGAGACAATGGGCAGTAGAAAAGGCATGAAAGCAAGTCCATTTGCTTGTACAGAGTCTTGGGAAACTAGTCCAACACTACATAATACCTCCTGCAAACTGGGCTGTTCATCCAAATTCTAGAGGCTCATCAAAGAACAAGGAGATAAATATAGTCAAGCTAGATATATGAAGCACTTACCTATGTATCTCTAATGTGCTTCCTTATCAGCATAAGTAAATATAAATGATATCCTTGGGTGATATCTCTTGGGAGATGAAACATTCTCTTTATGTCAGAGAGAAACTTTGTCTAGATACTGATTTCTGCAGGGCAATCATGAATTTGAATTTAAGCTTTAACAAGATAGAAAATGTTTATGTAGTTATTTTTCACCATCTCATTAAGGAGAGAACTAAGCCATACAAAAGGAGAGAAGTGTGTTCCTGCCATGTAGGAAGCCTGATATAATAATCCCAAATTAGACGTCAGAGAGAGACGAGTCCCTGCATATGCACACAGAACCTTCCATCGAGGAAGTCTCTCTTACTTTGTGCTGTTAGAGCATTTCTGGGGTGTCAGTGCTTTCTGCCCCAGACCTAGCTAACCAGCCTGCCTTGTGGGAAGCCTGAGTTTTGCAACGAGGTCGTGTAATTAACTTGCTGTGGAAAATCTCGTGAAAATGGGGGATGAAGCATTGAAAGAGAAGCAGAGCCGGAACCCCTAGATGCAGATGTCTGCAGATAAAGTTTTCCCTCTTGAGTTAGGCACTCTTCTGGCAGAACGGGGCCTGTCCACAGCAAACATCGTGTTCTCTCTCAACCCTCAAGTTAGAAACTAAGGCTTTGGGGATTCGTAACATTTCAGTTTATCATAAGTAAATCTCTTCCTAAAAAGGTTTTGAAGACAGCACAGGATAGAAATATTTGTGAGTGAAATGTCGGAAACCTAGAATCAGCCTCACTGGTGCCTGATTGGACGTTTTATCCTTTCACACCTGAAACATGTGAAAAGGGGCCTCTCCTTGCAGCATGTTCGTGTACTTGTTGAGGATGGCCTGTGGGATTGAAGACAGCCACGGCAGTATTAGCCAAAAATGGGCTTTGTTAATAAAACAGCTTGTTGTTCCTTTTGTGCATCTTACACACTTGGTGTGTTAAACCAAAAGAACATTGAAAATAATGAGCTGCTTTGATCCAAAATCCAAGGAAGAAAAATGACAAGGGTGCATATCCAGGAGTACATCCACAGAAATCAGTAGGACCAGTGAGAATATCACATACTTTTCACACTTGATCCGGTGAGATTGTCAAGTTCATGCCCAATGTAGCTCATTTAGGAAACGCCTAGAAACACACCCTTTTTTCAGAGAACAGTGTCATCAGCTCTCTTCCTATCACTAAACTGTGTGATGATAAAAGAATGGGTTTTTTAGCACAAAAATGGGGGAAAGGTAATTTTCCCTAAGATGTATACAAAAGGCTTACTCATAAATAGGGCCATTTCCTTATACTTAATGCCATATTTGTCTTTCATCCTTCTGTTAGAGGACTTTATGGAATTTGATTTGTACCAGAAAACCACTCTAAAAGATGTCATAGAAATGGTCTGACCTTTGCAGGGGAACATATCTTTTAAGTTCATATCAGGATCATGTATTTTCTATATTTCTTACATGATTGTAGAATTCTACCTAAATTTTACATACAGGCTTTGTCTCTACAACCAGCATCTCACCCCTGTCCTCACTTGGGTGTGGGCCCTTCCCTCCAGTGGTCCAGGAGGCATCCTTTGAAAGCTCTAGCATGTGTGGTTGACAGTAAATTTGATCGACATTCCTGTTTGTACCTTCAGTGTCAGATGTTGCTAGAGTCATTCTTGAGCATCAGTGTGCCCAAGGTGCCCAGTTTAGCATTTGCTAAACAAAGCATTTTTCTCTAAATGTCCAGTGCGCCTCATCAGTCAAAAGGGAAAGGCGGGATAAGGCAAGGCCAAGAAGAAACCTCTGCATGTGGTTAAATCATGCTTGCTTCATTTGCTATTGAAAATACTTGTCTTTTGTGTATTCAAGAACTGTATTTATTTTAAAAGAGAAAAATCAACTTGGCTATTGTTTCTTAATTTTGCTCCATGAAAGGCTTGGTCAAGATTAAGGAAAACATTCATTTTCAGATTCTGGCAGCCTAGGCTGCTTTCTGGAATGCAGCCTGCTTTGGCTGTGTCACCTTCCTCCCTAGGGGGCAAAGGCTGCTCCCCCGTTTCTCCCCATAGCCCACTGGCCAGTTCACAGTGTGCTCATGCCCCAAACATGGAAAAGTCAGGATATGGTGGTGTCCTTGGGACTGCGTGGCCTGGCGTGGCAGGTGGCTTTGGGCTCTGTATGTCACACTCATGTGTTACCACCTGTGGTTTTGTCTTTGCTCTCCCCATGCAGATCCGGAGTTAGGTGTTGGCACGCTACCCGAACATGACAGCCAGGATGCGGGGCCGATTGTCCCCAAGATATCGGGTCTAGAGAGAAGCCAGGAGAAGAGCCAGGACTGTTGCAAAGAGCCGATCTTTGAGTCCGTGGTGCTTAAAGACCCCTGCCCTCAGGCCCCACAGCCGCTGCCCCAGCCCCAGGTGGAACCCCAGCCCCGAGCTCCTTCTCCAGGCCCTGACTTGGTGCCGCGCACAGAGGCCCCACCTCAGCCCCCAAGGCCAAGCACACAGCCGCCCCAGGCACCCCCAGAGGTCCAGCTGCCACCCGCGCCCCCGCCCCCGGCGCAGAGGCCACCCCGGCCGCAGTCGCCCAGCCAGCTGCTCCACCAGAGCCTGCCTCCCGTGCAGGCCCACCCCTCGTCCCAGAGCCTCCCCCAGCCTTTGTCAGCCTACAACAGCAGTAGCTTAAGCCTCAACAGTTTAAGGTGAGCCAACCTGCCCTTTTTTGCCTGACTTTGGTTGTCATCTTCGGGACAGGCAGGTATTAGGGTAACAGCAAGGAGACTGGAATTTCCCTGGTGGCAGAGGCTGGAAGGCAGGGCGAGGGCCCTTTGTAAGGCTCAGGTTTCAGGGAGAGGATGGGTGGGTCGGGCCTGGGTAGTAGTGAGGACATTGTGCAGAACTGGAATATGAGAGACTCCTGTGTGAGCCAAGGCAGGCGGGGGCGTGCTTCAGAAACAGCAAGGAGGGTGCTGTGCCTGGGAGCGCCACCGTTCCCTGGGGTCAGGCAGGGAGTGGAGACCAAGGCTCATCAGAGATCATCATGTTAAGATTCTTAGAAGGAAGGCCACTGGCCTCTGAGGACAGCTCCCTGCAGATGCAAAGGCAGGAAGATTGGGAGCAGTTGTGTTCTGGTTTGAGGTGGTTTTCCTTGTAATTTACTATAAGTAGAAACGAAACAAGCTGGGTTTAGAGAGAAGCTCCTGCATGGAGACCCAGGCTCTGGCCTGTCTTATCTTTGCCAAATGACTAAGGAAAGTTTAAAAATTAGCATGAAGGAGAAATGCTGAGATTAGGGAGACAGACCTGGGGCACATGGCCAGTGCCCCCCTGCTTGTCCCAGGATGGGAATCCCACCCCCTCACAGCTCTGTGTCTCTAGTGTCATTTTTCCTAGTGACAGTCTGGTAACTTGGTTCTGGGCTAGCTTTTTCCTGTCTTTGACAGGGCAAGGAACCTGCCTTATTGGGAGCCAATGCCCTGCCCCCTAGGCCTTCTCTGTGGCCTCCAGACATAGAGGTTCTGGGGTGCTGAGCTCCCTGGTTCCCCTCGTATCTGGGATTCTTCACAGAATAGTAGTAGACAAATGGGACTAGTCAGGCCATTGTTCTTACTCCTTTTTGTTCATCTCATTGCTTCATAATATGTGGCTAGTAGAGGGTGGGAAGGCAGGGGGCCTTCTCGGGGCCAGGATGAGGCTCTGGCCATAGAGGGGGAGCAGGCTTGAGTTTCCCACAGAATCAGCTCTCCGAGCCCCGAGATGCCAATAACTCCAGAGCAGCGGTTTCTGTTTGGCTGAGTCCATGGTAGTTAGAGGATCTGTGATTCCAGCAGAAGCCTCTGGCGAGTGCAGGAGGGTCTGTGAAGAGAAGGGACGAGAGCAAGAGCGTGGAAAGGCTGGGCGGGGAGATGGGACTGTTTCGCAGAAACTAAGCCACTGACCTCTTCTCTCTTCCCTTTATTTCATCTGGTTGCCGCAGCAGAGGTAGCCCGCCCGCGAAGACTCAGCCGGCCGCTCCGCACGCCTCCCACCACCCCTCGGCCTCCCCGTTCGCCCTCTCGCTGCCCAGCCACAGCCCCCTGCACAGCTTCACACCCACCCTCCAACCCCCCGCGCACCCCCACCACCCCAATATGTTTGCCCCTCCCACTGCCCTGCCTCCTCCACCGCCTCTGACATCAGGGAGCCTGCAGGTGCCCGGACACCCAGCCGGGAGCACTTACTCAGGTAGGACGGAGGGGCTGGCCCGCCTGGCTGCCCGCTCACTCCCGCCCCTGCTGGCTGTGCGGGCCCTGAACCGCAGCCTGCGGTGCGCGTCCTCGTGCTCTCCCTCCAATCCCTTGTGGGCCGAGGTGCAGCAAAAATTGTACCCGTACCCATACAACCTGGCTGACTCAGACACGCGCAGGAGTTCCATGTGCTTGAAGTCCTGAGGCTTGTCAAGCCGAGGTCACCCACTGAGCAGGAAAGCGCGACCGCGTGCCTTCGCCTGGTCTCCTCATAGTGATGGAAGCTCTCCCAGGCCCGGGTCTGTTTCATTACGGATCTTCAGTTGCATCCTGTTTTAAGGGCTCTGTTTTGGTTGAATAGGGCCTTTTACCTTCTTGGAAAGGGAAGGGGAACTTTTTGTGACAAGGCATCCCAGAATTTTAAGGACAGACCTAGCGTTAGGTATTGGGTCCTTTCCTTCACACCTGTATTGATCAGGCCAAGTGTCCCACTTTTGGGTCCACTGTAGCCATACTGTGTTTAAACCACTGAAATAGCTGTAAAACAGTGATTTACCCTTGATAGGGCGTGAATGCCATGTGAACAGCGGCGTCTATCCAGTGTGCCATCAGTCCTCCTAAGTTCTGAAATATGTTAATTCTTTTAACCCACAAAACAAACCTATAGCATGGGCCGTATTACCATCCCCACGTGATAAATAAGGAAACTGAGGCACGGGCAGGCCATGTGCCAAGGACGGGCTTGCTCTGCAGGCAGAAATGGTTGCACCGGCTCTGGCTATTTGGGCTGGAGCCTGTCAGCAGCGCACTGACGACGCCCCAGGCAGACAGAACAGCGGCGGCGGGCCTTGGTGTCCGCTGTGTGTGGCCCCTCTGCCTGCGCCCGCTACCCAAGAGCCGTGCGCCCTTGGCTGGCGCCCCTCTGCCACCGGGCCGCGCTGTGCTGAGGACATCGCTGGTGCGGGAGGATGTCATCCTCTCCCTCCTTTCTTGCAGAGCAAGACATTTTGCGGCAGGAACTGAACACGCGCTTCCTGGCGTCGCAGAGCGCAGACCGCGGGGCGTCCCTGGGGCCCCCGCCCTACCTGCGCACCGAGTTCCACCAGCACCAGCATCAGCACCAGCACACGCACCAGCATACGCACCAGCACACCTTCACGCCGTTCCCACACGCGCTCCCGCCCGCTGCCATCATGCCCACGCCGGCACCACCCATGGTGCGTACCGCGGTCAGAAACGTGAGGATGACCGCTTCGCGGGCAGGGCCGGGCAGGGGGCGGACGGGGCTCCGGGGGCTGCGCGGGGCCCCCGGGTGACAGGACAGGGCTCCTGGGGCGCAGCAGCTGGTCAGGGGCCCCTGGGGCCCTGTGTACCCTGGAGGGAAGGGCATGGGCCCGAAGAAGGCCCTACCCAGGACAGTCATCTCTAGCACTGTGGGTGGGTTTCATTCAAGATGCCCTCAAACAGTCACATCCAGTGTGAGTAGTTAACGTCCTAAAGGGTAATTTTCTTCTCTTGAGCATCTTGAGGAGTTGCCACCAAATATAAAAATGTATCTGTCAGTGCTTTGCACCAAGTATGAGCCAACAAATGCTCATCAGTCCTGGGAGCCAGGAGGAGGACTGAGTGTTGGACTGCAGACTACAGTGCCACCCCGCCCCCCACCCAGCCACCCTTTCAGATGGCGTTTCTCGTATGTCATCAGACAGCACCGCAGTCGGGCATTGTGCTCTGTCTCCAGGTGGTCAGAGGGGGCCGCGCCCTGCAGGGTCAGAGCCCGCCTGGCGGTAGAGGCTCCCCTGGCAGTGAAATGGTCTTGCTTGGGACATAGCCCATGCCTGGCGAACCAGTTGGGATTTTCTTTTTAACTTAACTGTGAGGAATAGTGGCATATTAGGGTACTAAATATTCTGAGGTAAAGCCCTGTCTGAAACAGTATTAGAGGGTTTTACTCATTTAATTTTTGATGCCTCATTAAGAAGGCAGCTAATCTGGGCCTTGTAAGAATTAGAATCCCATGGTTTTAGGAGGTTGTTCCTTTCAAACTTTGCATCCTCTCCCCTCTCACACTTCCCCATTTTGTTCAGCTTAATTTTTTAAAGTAAATATATTTTAAGGTTTACTTTATACATTTTATTTAGAAGAATATTCGAGATGAGGCCTTGGGACCAAAAACAATTTTGAGTAAATCTTGTATCTTCTTTCTGGATGAACTACATATACTTCTCCATAGTTATATTTGTAAGGGCCTATTATTTTGGGAGAGTTTGTGCTAGCCTGGGTGAACTATTGCACAAGTAAATTAAATCTAAGGGAGGGGAGTCACAGCACCAGGGTGGTGATGTTAATTAGGGGAAACAATGGTGTGCTCCTTTCTGCTCAAGAGAAAGGTACTAAGACTTAGCCCCGATTGCCTTGTATTGGGGGTGTGAGTCATGTCAGTAAATAACTGAACATCCAGTTCTTCTGCCAGAGTGAAGATGAAAAAGGAGGGAATTTTCTGGATATATCAGACCAGAGATTCACTTCTCTCTTATTTATTTGAATAATTGCCTATATTCTCTATTAGATGTTTTGTGCCTATCCCTAGATATAGACTAGAAAGAAAGACACTGTAGTGTGGCCAGGCCGTAAATGCACCACATGGGTTTTCACCTTGTTTCTCCATTTCTTGTCCGAGTGACTCAGGAGTATCAGAATGGTTTCATATCCAATGAGGTCATGGAGTCTGATGACAGAGATGCTTACTTAGGGCTACTACGTCAGTTGATGCAGCAAACAGAAATGTAGATTCTTTAAGTAACTAGCTTTTGCTTTGATCCCTTTACAGTTTGACAAATACCCTACAAAAGTTGACCCATTCTACCGGCACAGTGTGAGTCTTATACTGCCATATTGAATGTAACTGCTTTTCCGTTTTTGTACTCTTGCCACAGATCAGTAAATGACTAGCGCCTTTCCTTAATCATCCTCGCCAGAATTCCCATTGCTCCTCATCACTTGGGTTGCTTGCTTTTGTGACGTTTGCTTTTGGTAAAGATGCAGTATCAGCTTCTGAATCAAAAGATCATAAACACACCTGAAACTTTAAAGCAAAGGTCAGCTTCACTGGAAGCCAGGCATCTGTCCTGCAAAGTGGGATGTCTGCAGTTGAGTCATTTTAATCTCAGGAAACTCTGAAATCACAGGATTTCAGGAATCTGTTGAAATGTCATTAATGCAGAATTCGTGGACTTCAATTTGAATTATTTCCTCCCTATAGAAAGTTCCTCATGTTTTTAACTCAGAGCTCTTCAAAAAGCCGATTTTCACTTCCTCTAGACTAAATGTAGAACTCTCTTCCACATGGCTGGTATGTTCTCCTGAGCTTCTTGTAACTGAAAATAAAAGTACCATTTAAATAAAAGGTCTTAAAATTGAAATGTATGAATTTTTTCCCTTTAAACTCGTTTATTTAAAGAAGGATTACATTTTGCTTATAATTCAAAGGGTACTTTCTGGAGCTTAAATTGGTACCAACCTAAGTTATATGTTCAGTTACTTATAAGACAAGGGCTTCTTTTTATCCAAAGACCTTGAACATCTTACAATGATATTTTGATTATGGAGTGAATACTGCATCATTTTTACCTGAAATTTTGCAAGTTTCTTTGCTCAATGATTTGTTTATATTTTTTAAATGAAACCAAGAAGAAGAAAAATTAATAATTGCTTGTAGCCATGTTGATCCACTATATTCAACTATTCTTGTTTTGACTTTCAGATAGTGTTAACTTACCATTGGAACAGAAGTGCCACTTAATAGATCAGCAAAGCCTGTGATTACATTCATACTTTGAACCAGATAATTAGACATTGTATTAGTCCTGTGTGTAGCTGAGAAGTCAAGACTAGAACATTTCAGAAATCAATTAAGAATTACTTCCTCTGGAGATGTTAAGAAATAACATGAGGGAGCCTCTTCAGAGAAGAATGAGGAAAGTGCGTCTGAGTGCCTTGGGCCCCACATCTTTCCATACTGCTCTGCCCGGTGCTGTGATGAAATGCATTTTTCATGTGGACACACAAAATACAGTAGACCCTTGAGTTTCCTCTTTTGATCCATCCCATGAGTGGTGCCATCCTTAATAATCGACAGATTTCTGCTCTTTGACTATATTTGCTGATTTAAATTAAGGACCAGTTAACAAAATCCATTCTTAGAGGAAGTTCACCATGCTTAACATCGCTCAGATTTACTTCCTAGGACCAAAAGCAGCACCTTTTATATGCATATCCTACAGACAGTCCTAGGTTTAAGATGGAGCATAAAGCCTGGAGGCCTGAATTTCTGGAAAGTTTATGTTTTATTACTTAGGTACTGCGGAGTTTTAGTCGAGAAGGGAATAGTCTGCTATATTCCAAGGGGGTCGGTAATGGGCTAAAGCAAAAGGAAAATGGTGAGAAACTCCAATTTTTTATTAAAAACATTAAAGGGAAAAAACCCATCTGGAGTCAGTAATAGAAATTTGAGTGTGTTTTAGTGTGGCATGTATTTAATTACTCTGCTTCAAACAGTGTACTGTGGGAGAGTTATTTCATATTAATATATGAAGTACTTAGTTTCCCCTGCTTTGGGGATTAGGACGTTACAAGGGGAATTAAGATGGAATGCACTCAAGTATCTAAAACACAATTTTAGACTTAAAAGTAGTTTTAAATGAGGGCACTTGGCCTGCAATCACTATTTAAGTGGATTTAGTTCAATATCAATTAGTCTGAAAAACTTTGCTGCATCATTGAAGGGAGCAAAATGAAATAAAGACCAGCAGAAAAAAGTATGTGCTCTGAAAACAGGATTGTGAACTATGGATTTCAGTCATACATAGAAGTAGCTAACATAAATGCATTTTTAGGAAAAGGCTGAATTACTTAGCATATGCAACCATAAGGGTGCAACAGTACTTCAATTCTGTATGGTGGTTGAATTCCAAGTAAATGGAGCCAAAGCAATAGGATCTCAGAAATTTTTAGAAGGCGAAAAAGATGTATTTGCAATGTTCTTAGTATTAGTATTGCTGTGTATTTCTTTCCCCCATTATGTCCTTTATAAACTATTAATTCAAGAAAATTCACATTCTTAATTCAGAATCATTCTTCTCCCCTCCTTGAGTGGTCAGACTGTTGCTTTAAGGGATGGGCTTGAATTGCCTCCAATGAGTTTGTCCATCTTAATAGAAAAGTGGGTAGGTAGCTCCATCGAAAGTATATACTGCAGCACTCTATTTTATCCTTCCACAAATATTTGTCCTCATTTTAGATGAGACAGTTAAATTGTCCTCTGGAACTGCCACTTCTAGAACCACCTAATGAAGCAAGGATTGTGAATATTTTCTCATTTTCTCAAACTATTAAAAATCTAAAAGTACTAATTGAGTTTTAATGGTATAAAATCCTGGAACTCATAAAGACTTGCTTCTTTTTCTTCCCCTTTTCCCCCCCTTTTTCTTTTTTCCTTTTTCTAATTAACTTGTAATTTTCTGGGCATCTTATTTGGCTCAGCATCCCTCCTGTTTTTGATATGCATTAAAATCTCCAGCCATTTAGGACTTATATCCAATTACACAATTAATAATTAGCAAAGCTCCCTTTCTAATGATGCCCTCATCTGGGACATCATTTGTTGGCTGACTGATTCTGAACTACTTTTAACTTTTTAAGTTAAGCATTCGTGGCACATCTGTGTGATCATTTCATCGTGGCCTCTTGACTAATAGCATCAAACTGAGATTACTTGGCTTGCTAATGATGTCTTTCTATGGGAAGGGAATTTGAATATATCATTTGCCTCCTGCTAAAATCGTGTTTTCCCTCTCCATCTTTGGCCACAGCTCTTCCATTCCTACCCTCCTGCGGTATCGGGCATTCCCCCTATGATTCCGCCCACTGGTCCTTTCGGTTCACTACAAGGAGCATTTCAGCCCAAGGTAAGAAAACAGAGGCATATCTGTCAGGCTAGTGGTAAGGATGGGTTGGCATTGCAAACAGAGGTATATCTGTCAGGCTAGTGGTGAGGATGGGTTGGCATCCTTTCTCCTGCCAGTGACTTAATTTTTCCAATCCAGGTGACCATTGGGACTAGCAAGATTATTTTGTCTAGTCCATCGAGTTTTAAGCCTCACCCAAAATTAATTTTCTGTATGTGCTACCTATGTAATCTCAGTTGCACTAGGATTTTCTGTGCTCTTTAAAATATGCAGAATATGTAGGGGTATTTTTTCCCACCAGTATTGTAGACATAAGCTTCTGGCCAGGAGTTCTGTAAAATGTCAGATACATGTGCACCAAGATCTTCTTGAAGTATGGTATTAGCAAAGTTGCAAAGCTAAGCCATTAGTGGTTTTAATAGAAGGGAAGAAAAAGTTTCCAAACTAAACTTGTATCCTTTGAATTGTGTGAAGGGAAGATCCTCCTGCTCATTCTCCCCTGTTTGACTCCTCAGGCCTCTCAGTCACACACCTCAGTCATGGTCACACTGCCAGGGTCACAACTAATATCCTAGTGTGAAATTAACCTTTTTCCCTTTATAATAACTAAGTTCTTTTCTACTCACCTTGGGCAAGAGTTCTCTCTGAAGGTCAGTATTGAGGAGTAATTCTCAGTACACTACCTTTTTGTGACTATAAATTGACAGCCCCTACTTAACTTTCATTCAAAAAAAAGCAAAATGTACTTTTCATGTTAGTCACTATTCTCAGATTTTATACTAGGAAATGTTGTGTGTGATTTTGGTCCTTTTTTTCCCCATCTCATTCCTAAGATAAAATGCCAGTTTTGGGCCAGAGTCTCCAGGTTGAACACATACTACACTTCCAAAGGCCATTGCCTTAAAACTTGGGATAGGAAAAGAAATTGAAAAGCACCAAAACTGGGATTGAACACCCTTGACATCACGTTTACTCACATGGATGCAGCTTGTGTGCTGGGTTATATGTACATGGAGCTTTTGTGAGTCCGTGCTAGACACCTCCTGTCTTGGAGTAAATGATGGTGGTCTTTAAGTTCCCTCCCCCATCTGCTCTTCAGTACTCCCTCAGACCCTGGTCTGTCCCCTGTAGGTTTTAACAAATCTCCAGAGCATCCCCAAACAGACTGGTAGGTCATTTAATAAATTAGACTATTTCCCTTACTCACAATTATCCAATCACACAGAAAACTACATCTGGGCAAGAAAGTGTCTCTCCTGGTGTCGAAACAGGCCTTTCCAGGCTATCTTACTGATTGAATATGTAGATTGCAGTTCATTAGTGGAGTTCTTCATATGTATGCAAATCAGGCTGTTAACAACTCCAGCTTAATTGTTAGCTGTACAGCCACTGATTGCTTTTCTTTCTTTCATTTTTTTCTTCTCCTCGTCAGCAAGCTTTGTGCCTAAACTTGAGCCCCTTTTCCACAGGAGTTAACTTCCTGACGTGAAGGGGTTGGGTCATAGAAGTTGTGGTATCTTAAATAAAGTACCTGGTAAAAATTTTTCTAAATCTTTTATCCACTAGAAGGTAGTGACTGCCTGTGCCTGAAGTAGGCCTTTTGTTATTAATTCAAAGGACAGAAGCCTATAGATAAGGTTATTATTAATGACATTTAAGAATGGTGGTGGGAATGGAAAAGACACAGCAGAATTACTTCAGATTCCATTTAATAGTAGATCTGTGTGGTCCCTAAGTTAGCTTCTCTTGTCCCATTTCCACCACTGCTAATGAGTCATTACTAAAAATAATTCCTTGTTACTGTCTGCCAGTTAAAATTTAGATTTTAATTAGTTAAGGCTTAATACCTATAGAACACTTTCAGTTATTCTGATGAGTAGCTCCTGATACAGCAAATTTAAGGACATTCACGTAAGCATTTCTTGAAATGTTTAGTGATAAAGCAAAAAACACAATGACAGGGCTGTCAGTAACACAGAAGAAGATGGATTTGGGGGCCACACCTGCACAGGCGGCCTCTCATTTTGGTCCTGTACTTTCTATTGCAGTGAGATGGGGTGCAGTCTGCCCCTCTGCGTTTAGATGGCACTGCTGGAGAGGGCCCTCTTTGGCGAGGGTCCCTTAACGAAATATGGAGCAGGTCTTCATGAAGAACATGTGTGATCACTAAGAAAAAGGAATCCGTTAACTCTTGTATTCCATAATTTGGAATGAAAGAAAGATCTTGCTTTCATGTGCATGTTATATGCCTCCTAAGCTGTGGTCTGATTTCTTTGTAGACATCCAATCCTATCGATGTGGCTGCTCGACCTGGGACAGTCCCACACACACTACTCCAGAAGGACCCAAGGGTGCGTACAAAGTCAGGCTCAGTCTCAGGTAACGCCAGAGGGTGCTTGTTTCTAGACCAGGGCTCACACCTTCCATAGCCTGTCTGAGCGAGCTGCTGCTCTGTAGCTGCTCTTCTAGTTTCTGGAAGAAAATGCTAGTCACTCCGCAGCCCTAGAACCAGGGGAGTGACCTGCCGATGGGGAAAGAGGGAGTAGCTTGTGGTCTAAACCCAGGAACTGGACACTATTACCTTGCATAGTTTCTGCTCCACCAATCTTGTCTGTCCTCATCATAAATCTCTCTCATACCAAAAAATGGGTTAAAAGGTTTTGAATGGAAAAGCACTAGCACTTTTCTTCCTGGAAGTCACTGTACCACACAGCTATTCTAGCCCAGTACTTTTAATGTGGTAAGGATCCTTTTATGCTCTAGAGCTTAATAAAATATCCATTATGCTTCAGTTATGTTATTTATTCATAATGTATACCTCTATCAATGCTCAAAAGAATTTGGAGTTACACAGTAGATGTAGTCTGGTCCCGTTGATTGTTATTTACATTCATTTTTACAGTAAATTTGAAAAAAAATGATTACTTTTTAGAACATTGACTTTTCCCTGGGTAAGGACAGTCAGAAATGGATGGCCAGAGTGAGGTGGAAGTTTAAAATGCCTCAACAGTGTAAATATTTTTATGATGTTTAGTGAACTTCTTTACAATGTCTGATACTCTGTGTCATGTTCAGTAATGATATTGATGATACTGGTAGCGATAGCCTCGTCCTCCTGCATGTCTGGAAAGGAAGCTCTCCCCAGATACGCATCAGTAGCCAGTGTCACCAGTCTCCGGTCTGAAGGCCATTCTCCCTTAGAGTTCAGTGTGGTTTGGAAGGACTGCTCAAGACAGTGAAACTCCTCAGATGTGTAATGTGAACAAATCATGTTGCCAGAGGGCAAATTGCTATTGATTAAACTTGTTCAGGGGGCTTGTCAGTGTAGATGTACCGAAGCTTGTGAAGTGGGGGAGGGGACACTTGGCACTTTTGATAGTGTGAAAATGGGTTAATTATTCTCTTAAAGGGCTTCATTTAAAAGTAAAATTCTAACATTTTAATTTCCCCTCCTAATGAAGCACTACAAATTTGTTAATTAGAGCAATTGTTTGAGTGACAGGCATGTAACCAAGTTGTCATTTTCTCTTCACAGTTGACAGATCCTTTCAGACCTATGTTAAGGGTAAGAAAGCTTCTAGAACTGTTTTGCAACCTCTGTTTGACTCCCTGTGGGTTAAAAATACAAATCCATTACAAGGAAACAAGTCATAGAGATGTCGGGGTGAAATGTTGGGAAGACGGTGGTTAAGGTTTTTGGCGCCAAAGGAACAGGTCGGATGGCTGAAAGTGGCCTGAGTAATTTTGCTTTGAGTGTTGGAAGAAGCCGGGCCATTGAAGTAAAGTGAGCCAATGAAATTCAACTGAATTAGATTCTCTTATTAGCAATTCTGGTAAAAGGTTTGACTAGTGGGAACTTAAGGGAAGAGACGTAAGCTGTAGACTGCGTCCTACTGTGTCTCTTGAACCTGAAAAGCACGTGTCTTGTCAGTTTGTTTGTTGTGTCTGGTGGCTGCTTCCTCCTGCATGTGTGATGGGCACTGTCACAGCCATCCAACCTGTTCCTTTGGCACCCAAAAGTGCTACTGTAAGCACTGGCTTGTCCCCATCCTTCGCAGTCTCTAGAGTGGCCAGCAGATGGCCTCTGAATAAATGCTGACTTGCTGGGGGCTGTGGAGGGAGGAAGTGTTGGCTGGAAGTAGACTTCCTGCTATACTTAGCCATTTCTGGTTCATATAATCAGATAATTCAATTTCTCCAAAGGGAAAAATAGGGCAATTGTGTCATCACTTAGATGACTTCAGACAACCTGTAATTTCATTCCAAGTGAAGAGAACTGACCCGACTTGGATTTAAGTGAATATTTCAGAAAGGGCTCTTACTATAGAAACCGCAAGTGTCTGTCCTCTGCCAGTGTAGGAAGGGGACTTTGTTACTTCTCATCCATCCTGTGGTCATTGAATGTATATTCAGGGCTTATGGGTAGATTATATAGCAACAAATGAGGTGGAAAGAGGTGGCCCCTGCCTCCAGGTGGCAAGCAGCATACACTCAGAGGTGCACCAGTGCTTATAAAGCAGGACATGGGATGGTTTGAGGGACATGCATTGATGTGCCTCCAGAGGGCGGAAGAAGGGGACTTGGTATCTGCAGAGGCCTAGAGCATAGGAAGGAAGCAGTTCTCTTCTCCGTTTCTGTTCCTTTTTTTACTTAGATATGAACAATGCCCACCAGCATGAATGGGAAACACTTGTGAGAACTGGGCTTTGATAAAAATGTAGTGCATTTCTTTGTTCCGCTTTGGGGTTTTAAAAAGCCAGTGTTGAGGGAGGCTAGGCAGGTTCTGTACCCTCTTGTTTTAAACTGATTCACACATTCAGTAATTAGCTCTTCTGAATGGCCGATTTGCATTATAGCATGGCCACATTTGTTAAGTAGAGCTTCCCACTCTACCAGATCTGCCAGCTGGCACCAGAAAAGAAAGAGAGAAGAGATACAAAGTGGACAAAGTGGGGTTCTGGCGTTTGCCTTATCCTTGGTAACGAGGCAGTCCTCGTCAAGTATGGTTTTCTGATTGGTAGCTGCGAGCCTGGTCTCCGTGGGAGGAGAGGAGGGCCTGCTATGGCTCCCTCAGGCCCAGTCACCGGCAAGCTATAGAGATAAGGCACTTGGAGGGCACTAAGCACTCTGGTTTCATAGAACAGCCTTTGCAGCTAAAATCTGCTGAAAGCTTTAGGGAGACTCAAAACAGCCTTCTCTGAAACATCTTCCTGACCACGCTGCTCTTTCTTGTTCCAGAAACCAGGGAAGTGGTGTGCTATGCATGTTCACATTGCCTGGCAGATCTACCACCATCAACAGAAAGTTAAGGTCAGTCTTATGGAGGGGATGGGAATGGGGACATGCGGGTCTATGAGCTCCCGATCAAGGGACATTTAAACAGATTCTAAAGACCTGCAGGCAGCAAGGATCAAGTCTCTCTTGCAAAATCTATTTGGAAATCTTACTATTGATTAGGGAAACCACCAGCAAAATGACGAAACCCAGAAGCAAACTGATAACCCTGATGGTTTATTTTTTAATGGTTTTGTCATCTTATTGATCCAAAGAAGTTAAATATAGATTCAATCCTAAAATAAAGGCTTGGGATTCTAATTACAGCAACCAAGTATTAGTATGGAAAATACTTAGTGTCTGAAAAGAGCTATACATGAAAGTTTTCTTTTCTGTAAGAATTGGTGCATTCTTAAATCTATAGGGAATTCATAAAAGGCTTTGGGAAAATGAGAGTAATTTAAGCCCTATATGATGCTACTGAACTTCCCCTAACAATGCAAAGTATTAAAAATCAGTTTTCTAGAAGTGGAATTTGGTGGGCAGTGACCTTTCTACAGTCTGATTAGTCCTGATAACCAGTGCTAGCGGCAGCATATGATCAGTACCTGTCAGAACCACTATCTGGCCAGTTACCTTACCTGCCCACAGATGATCTTTCTTTTTTTGTCTGTATTTACGTCATACAGATGGATACATTCCATACTTTACCAGGCCTTAATGACATAATAGGGAAGAGATAAAGAACTTCTGCAGGTGACCAGATACGGCATCACTGGGTGGCTTGGGAGGTGACAAGTCCAGATTTTATAGTCTGGGTATTGACAGTGTGTATAACTATGTCTAGAATAATAGGAGAAAATAACCAGTCAAGTAATTCCAATGAGCTTCAGTTAATCTACTTTTTTATGCACAAGCATTTAGTCTTAACAGCATTTGGGAACTGTTGTCAAGAAGCCAGTCAACAAGGAGGGAGAGATAGGCATCACAGAAATGCTTTTTCTTTAATGGCTAAATGATTAAAAAAAAAAAAACCTAGTTATAGCTAAAAAGCCAACCTCAACCAATGAGGTCACTAAGACATTCTGCTTTGGTTCCAAATACCTGATCTTTCTCAGAACAACCCATCAGTGAGTTTGTTTCGCTCACTTTTAACTTTATTGTTATGCAGAGTTTAATTAGAAGCCTTACGGTTCAGCTTCGTTAGAAAATGTGTGTGCTTTGAAGAGCTAACTAGATTCAGATGCTTACTTCAATTCACTTTTCGTTCTGGATGATGCGGTTAGTGGAACGGTAGGTAAGACACGTTCTCCATGTAACTCATTTGATGAAGGATGTTGTATGTGCCATTTTGCGACTTATTTTCTGTGAACGTGTCCCCAGCGACTAAGACTTTCATTATCCCATTTCAATTAGAGAGACCTTGCACGTGAGATAACTGTTGATCTTCCCTTTGCAGCAAACTCTTTGTACTCCCCCAGCTACATTTTGCTTCATGGACCCAAGTTGCGGTTTATGAAACTGTGCTGTGTACCATGCAATATCAGCACTAAATAATTTGGCAATCAAATTAAAGGAAGTACTCAAAAGATTTTTATAGATTTATAAATAGTGAATTAGAAGCTTCGTTTGGGGGTTTGACTATTACTTGATGGTGGGACTTCCATGACAGTATTCCCTATAGACTTAAGCAGAAATTGCATTGTCTCCTTTCTCTTTCATGTTCATTTACTTATTCTTCTTGCCACTCACCAAATATTTCTTGAGAGCCTACCCCCTACACATTACTTACTGTCCCAGGCTCAGTGGGCACTCACCTGTCCTGGTGTCTGGGTGCTTAGAGTTCAGTAGGGAGGATCAGTGTGTGCATAAAAAATGGTGAACGTGTTGTCTGCTTCCAGCTCAAGGTGCTTGGGTAGGTCTCACTGTGAATGGGCATGACGTGACCTGCAGCTGAGAGAATGGCAGATATCTCTTCTGATTCTTGCTCATGCTAGCTCAGATGCCTCCATGCTGGCTTTATTGTGCAGTGGGATAAGAATATGTTTATGGCAGAGCATGATAGAGTTTGAGGTAGCCAGATAGACTGAGACCATCAGATGAGTTTAAGAGATTGGAAGAGTGAGAGTCGGAAAGTCAGTAGAGGGGCTGTCAAGGGGCAGGAGCCCAGAAAGTGGACAAGTAGTCGCAGCAGAAGGGAAACACCAAGCTTCAGCCCCCAGGCCGGACCGCTGCTGGTGCTTGTCCATGTGCAGACATGTGAAGCCGATTCAGAGAAAGCTGTTGAGAATCCTGGGTTGGGCAGCTTTGAAACCATGATACTTGAGAGGGCTGCCAGCTTCAAGAATGATACCAAAGAAAGGAATCGGGAGGAAGATTATGAACCAGTTTCTAGAGCTTTAGAGGGAGGTGAGGGCAGATACACAAATAAAAGGAACTAGAATGATGGCAGTTGGTGGCAAGAACTTCACAAGAGAGGTTCCCAGTGGCTCACTGGTCTGGACTGATCCGCTCTTCCTAGGGTATTTGGGAGTGGTAAGCAAAGAAAAGAGCCCTGTTAGTGAAATGAATATCCCTACTGTGTTCCTGGGTTGGTTTTTTTAAAATGTAACAATGATTATTTGAAAATTAGCTTGGAGGCATGCAAATATTTCTTCATAATTCTCAGTTACTAATGTACTGTGATCTATTAGAGCATGGCAAAGAGTCATTAAACAATTTACACAGCAGATTATTCATGCAGAATTCCTAATAAAATGAGCTTTAAAAAACAATATTTTTAAAACTTGTTAAAATGGGTCTTTACAGCAAATAATAAACTACAACAGAGTAATGGCAGTTTGAATAAATAGGATATGGTTCTATTTCTCCATATAACCCCAAAGACCAAAAGAACATGTACCATCCAGTAGCAGGCACTACTGATCCCTCCTAGGTTAACCTGCCTGTCTGGCACCTGAGGGTGAAATGGTTTGTGGGTTACTGTTCTCACAGCAGGTGTCCTTGAGCTTGATGGGGGCTCAGGGCCTAAGTGCTCCATTCTGTGGACTTTCCTCTTTCCTCTGGTGAGTTTAGCCTCCTCGTTAATATCTTTCTCCCCTGCTGTTCTTCTTGTGGTTTCATCTTTTATTCCCCTTGCTGCTTTAGAAACAGATGCAGTCAGATCCACATAAGCTGGACTTTGGACTGAAACCAGAGTTCCTGAGCCGCCCTCCAGGTCCCAGTCTCTTTGGAGCCATTCACCACCCCCATGACCTGGCACGGCCTTCAACTTTGTTCTCTGCCGCTGGTGAGTTCAGAGGGAGCAAGAAGGACTGAGAAATGTAGTTTGCAGGTAGCTAAATAAATTAAGTTTGCGCTGTGAACTGCCACTTGGTCACTCCTTAAAAAAATAGAGTTTATGCTAGCCTGTAAGGCAGCATCACAGCACACCTAGGGAGATGGCCCCTTCTTTCCTTAAAGAAGGGAACAAAGATCCACTTTCCCTTAGGGGACTCATATTGTTTTAGCTCACATTTTCTTCCATATTAAACCAGTGCAACTCACAAGCATGTCAATTGCTATTGAAAAAGATCAGAAAGATTGCAAGGGTGAATCTGAAGGAAACAGTGCTAGGAATTGTGTCACAATGTAGTTGCCCTTACTGTTGGGTGTTCACAGAACACTTGGTAATTTTGCACTGTGATCTTTAGTCACGCTGAAGGCTCAAAGAATAAAGAAGTATGATGAAGACAGTTACCAGTGGTACAATCTGTGATAAGGAGGGAGAGTCACTTGGTTACTGGCTTTTTCTGCTGCAGAATTTTATGTCATTTCCTAGGGGGTGTAGTGATGCAGGGAATTAAACACCCAAGAGATCTGTTCCTTAACCTCTGAGTATACACACACATGCCAAATCAGGTATGCCAAAGCTGGGCCCCAGGGGATCTCTACATCAGATAACCACCCCTTCTGGTCCACGTACATACAAACAGGAGGCAGTGGCTACAAGGAGTATTAAGTAAAGGAGAACAGCACCCTTGGTATCATAGGTTCCTTATCATCCGGTCTTTTTGGAAGCTGTGTTCCATGCACGGTTCCTGGCACAAAGCTCCACGCATTAACACTTGTAAGTGACGACACCGGGCCCATCCTGGGGACAGGCTCCATACCTTCATCCCCACTGTGCTGAGTTTATACTTCTGCACATAAATATTCAAGGGGCTTCCTGTTTCCAGCCCTTGGGGAACAAATTTTACATCCATCCTGTCTGCTGCCTTTCCAGGCTTTTATCCAAGACTCATTTCTGGTTGACCTAAGGCTCTTCCATTCAGAAAGAAACTCCCACGTTGCAAGAAATCATCACTGTAATAAGCCTCGTTGCCAAAGCACGTGAATCGCCCCTGAGGGTAGATGGGATTTGCTAAGGTCTCAGATTTTTCCCTGTCAGTTCTGTCTAGGGACATATTTGAAGGCTTTGTTACCATGGCACCTAGGCTCTGAGATGGGGCTACATTAAGAGCAATTTTTGGAGAGAAATAGATTTCTCCCTGGCTTCCATTTGAGTCAGGCAGATGAACTGGCTTCTTTCGCTTCAATAATTCTGGAACTGCAAGACACCCCTGGGGGCCCTGGGCTGAGCAAAGCTCCAGTCTTTATCGAAGCATTAATTAGCTTGTACTACAGGCAGTATGCAGCCAAATTTTTATTTGGCTGGCAATGCTGTTAATGCCTAACGCCTAGTAAATATGCTAGCCTGTATTTGCTTTGAGGACAGGGTATCATTTTGTACTTCCTGGGTGGAGAAAAGTTACTGTCTAGGGTCAAACAGATGATTCCTCCAGCACCTTCCAGTTCTGTGGTACCATGACCAAGCAGCAGTCCTTGCGCACTGCGTGGCTTCCCACTCACCTAGGCCCACAGTCTCTTACCGTCCAGGGAACCGAAACCCCAAACGTAAATTAATAGGGTGTGGGGAGGGACAACACTCCTCCATTTAGTCTATATTCCTGAGGGAATTTATACTTGTTCATAGGAACTTAGACAAAATGCAAGGGATTATGAGATAGTTATTAGCAAATTCATTCAGGCCCTGTTTATACTTCCATTCTGGGAGGTCATCTTCTTCAGTGTATGCAGCATTGCATTTTGCCCAGAACAGTGGAAACTTTTAACTGATGAGTATGATTGACACTGAAGTGTTACATTTAGCCACTTACATTTGTGTTGGGCACTAATGCCCTAAATAAACTAAATGGGCTTCCTTGGAAGACTAGAGCCAAGCCTGCCTCCCAGAGAGCTCACCACCTCAACTCTCAGCTGCATATTAACAAGCTATTTTGATGCCCTCATTTTTTAGAAATAGTGTCCTTCCATAACTCACATGCACACACTCTATGTCCCTTCTTCCCTCTTTCCTTTCCCAGATTCCTTCAAGAATAGGATTTGCAGCATCTGAAAGAAATGCATACTGTTTACGGCAAATTGTAAAGTAAAGGAGGAATGTGCACAAAGGGAAAACCAAGGGAAGTAAGGCCACTTATTAGAACTGAGTCCCTGGCAGGCAAATAAGAGTCACTTGTAAAAGATTGTTGGTGTCCAAAAACATGTGAATAAACTACGTCCTCCTGGCACGGAAGACTGGGAGATATTGGAAGATTTATCTCCCATAAACTACTGTAACTCAATAGTGGTGAGAGTCAGGATCAGGCCTTAAAGGGTCCTTAAGTGCCGTCATGCCTACTGACACGTTCTTCAGGAAAAGGGATTCTACAGGGACCCAAAACAGTACAGGCCCCGATAGGCCACCTCATGACAGCTGCTCCAAATCCAGGGACCCTAAGATGTAATTTCCGGATTGGTGCTACTCAAAGTGAAAGACGTGCCCCTTGAGATGCTCTGTGATGACAGTATTCCATGACCAAGTGTTCTCCTGCTAGAGAATCAGTGAGCCCAGGAACATATACCAGTAGCTCCAGGTAGTCCATCTGTAAAGAATCTTGCTTCACATTTTTTAACTTGGCATTTTTCCAAGTTTATTTGGTTATAGACTCTCCCACCACCCCATTGTATTTTTCATTGTTTATTACACTGTGTGTCAGAGTCAGTAAAATGAAATGTCTTTTTTTGGTGGTGGCCAGCCCAACTTGGAAGAAGGAAAGAGCGTGATTTATTTTCTACTTCCTCACAACATTTTGTTTCCTGGGATATTGCCTGGGTGGACTTTATCTGCATCCTTACTTTAATATATGGTCTCATTTTCTCAGTGGCCCTTAGGCAACTAGGAGCCTGCTGCATGCCAGAGATTGGCTTCTGGTGCAATCTAATTCCCTCATGTTTGACTACTAGGTGCTGCACACCCAACTGGAACCCCTTTCGGGCCGCCTCCTCATCACAGCAACTTCCTTAACCCTGCTGCTCACCTGGGTGAGTTGCCCCTCAGGACAAGAAATGATGTATGTTTCAGAATACCTTTGTTTCCTGTGCTCTGCTCTTCCCAGCAAGTTGGCCATGGTCCTAGATCCCTTACAGATGACTTAGGGAGACGATGGTGTCCTCGTAGAACTTCGAGTGCCTGCCATCTGATTTTGGCTCCTCTTATACCACATTCTTAAAGTAGTAGGTCTGTGTGCTCAGGAGTGGCTCTGTCTGTAGTGCTCTGATGCAGTAGGTGAAGCCATGCCTTGTACTCAGGGAATCCATGTTTACACCAGCCTGTCTCTGCCACGGGAAGAAGATGCTGAACTCTTGCCCCATGTTTAAGGGCACCTCCGGGAAGTGGAAAGAAAGACAAGATGATGTTACAAAGAGACAGTCCCTGTTATTTTTTAATCACTTCACATTTCACTTCCCTGTTAATATATTTCTTCCTAGTGAGGGTGCATGCTCTATCAGTAACCTTCAGTTTTTGGATATTTTCTGCAAGTGTACAAGCAGATGCAGGCGATGGTGCACACAGGGCAGGGTGTGTAACACGTGTGCCTTCAGAATTTCATAACGGGGAGACAGTGCAGGGAGGCATCTTAGAGAACATCATGGCTTGAGTGATGTGCCCCACCCAGCAGAAGAGGAATGGGCAAAATGCAGTTGTGGAAAAATATCTCTTATAAATACTGTGCTAACCCAATACCCAGATGCAAGTGCAGTGAACACTTTTTGTGTGATCTGGTAGAAGTGGGTGAGATCAGGTCTGAGCATAGAGAGGGCCAGCTTCCCACATCACTTACCCCACCTCCAGGAAGCGCTCATGTTCCTCACTTGACAGAGCCTGCCTTCCCCATCTTGTTTGCAGAGCCTTTTAATCGTCCATCTACATTCACCGGCCTGGCAGCAGTTGGTGGCAATGCCTTCGGGGGACTTGGGAATCCTTCAGTTAGTGAGTACCTTTTAACTTCTTAAAATCTGCCTTGGACTGTTTATTTCCTCTTATCTGTCTATGGCTCAAGATCTTTTTAGATGAAAGGAAATTAGGCTCTCAGGAGGCTAATTTGGGTCCTATCATTGCAAAAGTAGACCTCAACAATGGAGTTAGGTACAAGTGTGTGTTTGCATCAAAGCCAGTGTTTTAAGAGCTAGCCCACTGTGGCCAGGGAAGGAAATGTTGATTGAACTCAGGAAGTTGTTTACGCTCGTGGCATCCATACTCCATCTCTACTATCCGAAACTTTATTGACAGCACCCATTAGAAGTGACATGAACTTTTAAATCTCATCTTGCCTTTGGTGTTAGTGGGAATGAAAAAACTCGGTGAAGAATATCAGGGAGACAGTAGCATTCCATAACCATAATCTGGAAGGACCACGTCATTTTCTTCTACTAAAAAGTATCTGAATAGGAGAAGTGTTGTCCACTGGGCTCATGTTCCAGTCATTATTTAGTCACCAAATGTTCCTTTCCTTCCATGCCATCAATATAGCTTGTCCTCTGGATATAGGAGACCGAAAATGCAGCTCTGAGCGTACCATCCCAGTTCCTCCTAGTATCTGTTTAGGGCAAGGCCCTGTCTGGTCTCTAATGACACCTGTCGCAGCTTGCTGAAGCTGTGGGAAGAGTAGCAGTCATAGCACGGCTGTGGGTGGGGATAACCAGGAGTTCCACCCGGAATTAACGTCATCAGGCTGGGTCACACCATCAGGTTATATACCCTCTGCACATTCGCTCGGGACTTCCGCATGCACCAGAAAGGTGTCATTAGGTTATCCTTTTTAACCCACCCCCTTTCACCCCTTTGCCTTTGGTTAAAGAAAAGATTAAAAAAAAAAAAACAGCTGTGAGCTGCTTCTCCAGTGTAGGACAAGAGTTCCTCTAATGAATCTGTTGATCTCCTTTCCTTTTCCAGCTCCCAATAATATGTATTCATTTTAACTCTGAATGCTGTTAGAAGTTTTTTGGTAAGTACCTTCATTACGGCAGATTATATAATTTCTCTTAAACCTTTTTGTTCTCCACTTCACCATTTCAGCACCCAACTCAATGTTCGGCCACAAGGATGGCCCCAGTGTGCAGAACTTTAGCAACCCTCACGAACCCTGGAACCGGCTGCACCGAACACCTCCGTCGTTCCCGACCCCTCCGCCATGGCTGAAGCCAGGCGAGCTGGAGCGTAGCGCGTCCGCTGCAGCTCATGACAGAGATAGAGATGTAGATAAACGAGACGCCTCTGTTAGTAAAGATGACAAAGAAAGGTACGGAAAGAACCTGCTCTCGAGTCCCACCCGGGGAGCCCGCTCTGTGCCGACTTTGGCCGTCACCCTCCCTGTCCCAGCCTCGAGCTCCAGCTGGCGCGTACCTGCTGCTCACAGGCAGCCAGCGCCCAGGCCCAACAGGGCACTGTGACTGTAGGGTCCACTCGTAGTGTAGCGAGAGATTCCTGACCCAGAAGCACCTCCACACTGAACCTCCACAGTCCCTGTGAGCATTAGTTTCTCCAGATATACATCTTCCTCTGAGGGGCAGGGAGTCGGACCTTTGGACCGAACACACACAGCATGAATCAACACCATATTTGCTTTCAAGTTTGTGCAGTCCATGAAACCATCCATAGGTTTTTCTCTCTCTTTTTGTTTTCTTTTAGAAAGCCATGTTTGCATTGTCTCACCATATTTTTCTCAAATTTTGTTCAAACTCAAATCCTGGGCTCACAGATGACTAATAAAATTTTGCTAACTTAGATGGAGAGAAATGTCAAGTATTTTTGGGTTGGGTTTTGTTTTGCCAGAGGACAATTAAAATTTTACTAACCATTTTTATCTCTGTACTTGGTAGTTCATGCCTCAAGCAGAAGTAGCCTTAAGGAAGAAAGTGTCGTAGTATTTTTTCTGGAGAATGTTATAAGCATTCTTGACAAAGGATCCCTTTTTATTTCATTCTTTAGACTATTTTCATTGTGAACAAACTGATAAGTACACAAGATGAGCTTGATAGAAAATACTGAGTAACACTTTCTTTTTGGTACATAAGTCTCAAATATGATCCAAATCTCTAGTTTTCTTTACTGTGTATATTGTATGCATGTGTGTGTGTATGTGTGCATTTCCTAGTGATAAAAAAGATTCGCAGACTCTAAATGTAGCAGATTAGGAGATGTTCATCGCAGGCCATCGTGCCAACTGATTTCTTTCTTACAAAAGAAAAAGACAGTTTCCTTCAGGACAGTATGATAAAAGTCATACGCAGTTGGAGGGCTGTTGCTGACTCTGAGCTCCAAGCTGTAAGTCACCCCAGTGAGCTGCCCCCGAAGCGGGCATATCCTCGCCAGGAGCTCTCTTTGGACAGTCAGTCGAGGCAAATAAGCTGTGGCAGCTAACCTTTGCACATTATTCTTGGTAGAGTCAAATGGCCTTTTGGACGAAAGCCAGGAAACTTAATACAATACACTCTTCTTCATCCCTGCCTTTCCAAGATGCACTTCTTCATAGACTTCGTGTTGGCTAGAAACCAAGTTTATAGAGGAAACTTCTGTAGTCCTCTCACCGTGGCCACCCTTGCCCCTGTCCTGCTTCTCTCCTCCCCGTCACCAAGTCTGCCTCAGGGCTGCCCCAGACTCCCCGGTTCTCAGCATGAACTCTGGTTTTACCCTGCTGTCATTCCTGCTGCATTGCATTTGCTCTGCTCCTCTGCCCCATCCAATGCAGGTCCCTCCATTTCTTCTTTCATATTTCCATTCACATATGCTCTTTAAATTGTTCCCAATTTGCCCCATGAGGTTTTGTGTCTCCCGACCGCCTTTCCTACTGGCTTCCTCCATCTGTCTTCTCATCAGAGTTTGGACTCCTTGTCCTTCCTAATGCAAAAGAGCATTCCTCGCGGCCCGGAGTCCTGAGGTTCTGGCTTCCTCCACACCCCCTCACGTCCGGCGTCTTGGAGATGCTCTGTGTCTGTGTCCCTTCACTCTGATGCCAGGAGAGGGAAGCCCCCATAACCTTCTCGCTAGTCTTCCTCCCCCTGGCTGTGTGCTGCAGTGTTGGGAGGAAGGTTGTATTTGCATCTGGGCTCTTAAAACTATTCATAACAGTAAGAGATCCCGAGAACCTAGATGGGGCTGTTTGGGGCGTCACTTGACTCTCCGGCCACAGTGGCCCGTGTAAGCTGTGGGAAGCTCTTCTTCTGTGGTCTCGACTCTCATGTGCAGAGAGGATTGTTCCTGGCAGGGTCTCCCACTCACTCTCATCCCTAGCACTTCACCCCGTAAAGATTCCTCTAAGATCTACGTAAGGTCAGAGCGGCTGGTTTTGCCACAGGAAGGGCACATCTGACTGCCTCCCCAGCCGTGGGATCCATGCCCGAGCCTGTCCTTTTCACACTGCCATTTCATCGGCAGCCCCCCGCCAGGCCGACAAGCCCGCTTCATTGGCCTCCCTGTTCCCCTCTTCCTTCCTCAGGGAAAGCGTTGAGAAAAGACACTCCAGCCACCCTTCACCAGCACCCGCCCTCCCAGTGAGCGCCCTGGGACATAACCGCAGCTCTGCCGAACAGATCAGGGGTCATTTGAACACTGAGGCTCGCGAGAAAGACAAACCCAAAGAGAGGGAGAGAGACCACTCGGAATCCCGGAAGGACCTGACCGCCGACGAGCACAAGGCAAAGGAGAGCCACCCGCCCGAGAAGGATGGCCACGGCCACGAGGGCCGAGCCGTGGGTGAGGAGGCCAAGCAGCTGGCCCGGGGGCCGTCACCATACGTGCGTACACCCGTCGTGGAGAGCGCCAGGCCCAACAGCACCTCCAGCCGCGAGGCTGAGCCGCGCAAGGGTGAGCCAGCCTACGAGAACCCCAAGAAGAGCTCAGAGGTCAAGGTGAAGGAAGAGCGCAAGGAAGACCATGACCTGCCCCCAGAGGCCGCCCAGAACCACCGGCCTTCGGAGCCACTGCCTCCGAGCTCCTCATCCAGCGTGCACCCCGGGCCCCTGGCCTCGATGCCCATGACGGTGGGGGTGACAGGCATTCACCCCATGAACAGCATCAGCGGCCTGGACAGGACTCGCATGATGACGCCTTTCATGGGCATCAGCCCCATCCCGGGCGGTGAGCGGTTCCCGTATCCTTCTTTCCACTGGGACCCCATCCGGGACCCTCTGAGGGATCCCTACCGAGAACTTGACATTCACAGGAGAGACCCGCTGGGCAGGGACTTTCTGCTCAGGAACGACCCTCTCCACCGCCTCTCGACCCCCCGGCTGTATGAAGCTGAGCGCTCCTTCCGGGACCGGGAGCCTCACGATTACCACCATCACCACCCCCACCCGCTGTCTGTGGACCCGCGGCGGGAGCACGAGCGAGGGGCACACCTGGACGAGAGGGAGCGCCTGCACATGCTCCGGGAGGACTACGAGCACACGCGGCTCCACTCTGTGCACCCCGCCTCCCTCGACGGACACCTGCCCCACCCCAGCCTCCTCGCCCCTGGCCTGCCCAGCATGCACTACCCCAGAATCAGCCCCCCGTCGGGGCACCAGAACGGGCTCCTCAACAAGACCCCACCCACAGCGGCGCTGAGCGCGCCCCCACCGCTCATCTCTACACTGGGGGGGCGCCCCGTCTCCCCCCGCAGGACTACTCCTCTGTCTGCGGAGATGCGGGAGAGGCCCCCTTCCCACACGCTGAAGGATATCGAAGCCCGGTAAGGAGATCAGGACACAGAGGAGGAAGAAACCCCACAGCAACAGCCGGCGTGCTTTGGAGCGTGGGGGAGAGAACGAACCGTTCTCCTGGACAGGGGGCAGAAGCCCCACGCCTCCCCTTGTAAAAAATGTACAGGCTCAGTGCAGATTTTGAAATGTTTTGTATATTATATGTTGAAATTTTTCAGATCTTTTAGGTAAGTCATATGTTCTCATGTCTCCGACTCTTTTGGTTTCACGTATAAAACTTTTGATTTGAACCAAAACAGTGAAGATGACAGCACACACCAGTTTGGTGATTATCGGGGAAAGCAGAATCAAACACCCGTCCCCACAGCCCACTGGGCAAACCTCTGTCAGATGAGGAGGGAAGGCCATGTACATAGTTATGTAAAAAAAAAAAAAAAGATTGCTTCATGAGCTAATGGTTCATATATGCAAAAGGGTAAGATGAAAGCTTTACTTTGTACAAATGTAAATAGATAAAGATTAAGTAACATAATACATTAATACTTCTTAAAATGTGCTATTTGCAAACTTAATCTCAGTGAACACAGTCGGCTGTGGCTGTGTTCCCATATATTGTTATAGACAGCTAAACCCTTCAACTATGCAATGAATGTTAGGGCTTTTCACAAAAGCCCACCTAATTCAAAGGAGCCTTTTCAAACCCATTTACAACATACTTAAGGTCATATTTTCCCTGAACAAGCGCTTATGTGATAGGACTCTCTTTTCCTTGCTTGTTTTTTTCAAACGGAGAAACATCCTATTTTCAAAGTGGACCCCAGGCTGAAACTTTGCATCTGAAGCTGCTGCTGTGGGCTCTTGGGGGAGTGCAGCCCCATCAAGGGAACGAGGATGCAGGCAGCCAGTGCCAGGGAGGAGGGGTGTTGTCAGATGCCAAAATCAGGGGACACAAACAGGTCGCCAGCATCTTGTCACCATAACGTAATTTCACACACACCTCATTGTGGGAGCCATATGTTTTTTAGTGTGTCCTATTTCATATCTGTATACACCCTCTCATTTTGTAATGAGGTTTAATTATACCCAAACAGATCCTGAAAGAAAGCTTCAAGTTTTCTCAGATGATGGATATGTTTTCACCGTATTCAATAGCTGATGAAGTTAAGGTGCACTTTTCCTAATGTGACTCATGTTCCAGTTGGTAAAGTCTGGGAATAGCTTCACAGGCCTACATGGTGGAGCCATGGGGAGTTGCAGAGGGTGAAAGGTGGCAGAGACAAAGTCTTGTGTGTGCGTGTGTTTTTAAGTTTGCATCAATCTTAATGTTTCTTCATAATACTTTTATATAATACATTAAGCCTCTTGTCTACATATTTGGAGAGAATATGACTTTACTAGCAGAGAAATACAATATATCTTGTCTACTGGACTGTAAAATATATGTATGAAATAAAATTAGTTCCATTTGGTCTTCTAGTATATTAAAGTGCTATCTGATGTTGTTATCCTGTTTTTGCAAAAAAAAAAAGTTAACTACAGGCCATTGTTTCTAATAAGCAGAGAGATCTATTTTAGTAGTAAACTGAAGGTTTAGTTGTGAGCTTCAGATTTTTGTGAACTCCAAATGTTGTGCAGTGCTTTTTCTTTTTTTTTAAGACAACTAAAAAGAAAAAAAATCCAAGGAATATGTACACTGGAACGGTAGTGGTAGATTTTAGTATTGTAAAGAGATTGTTCTATACAGACCTTTTTGCTGTTAATCCTGTATGTAATAAAGTCCTTTCTAGGTCCTGTGTGAGAAGAAAGTGCAGCGACTGACTCTCCAGCATGTTCTCATCGGCGGAGCCTTCTTGTGTAATGTAAACTGTGCCATGTTATTAAAAAATGTGAACTAAGCTTCTAGCTGCTTGTTTGTGTTAGATGGCCATCCTTACCTTAGGGAAGAAGCCATACTTGTGAAACCGGGCTTTTGTAAAGGACCACCTTGAACCCAGCCCAGGTGAGAACAGAAGGCTGACCCACCGTGGCTGGCCACCCCACCTCAGTTAGTGACCCACCAAGTAGTTTCTGGAAGCATTTGCACATAGTCAGTTGTGGATTTTTTTTGGTAATGTCTAAGCAAAATTTTGCAAGTCATGGGCAGGTACTCCTGGATTTCATAGATGATGTACATGTGGGCCAAGTTAGCAAAAGCCCTTGGTGTCTCAGGCCTACTTCAAAACAGCCTTTGACAATAGTCTGCTGTTTGTTCCTTTGCATTTCAGTCTGTGGACTCAGTCGTATGTCACATAAGACCCTCCAGATACTTGCTCATGTCTTGGCTTTGTGTCTCCTTGGATTATATGGCAGAGCCATATAATCAACTTGCAGACTGCTCCCTCATTCGCTAAGACCTGTTAAGTTTTTTCAGAGTGTAAAACATTGTTAAATTTTTTTGTGTCAACCTGATGAACTGCTGTTTGGATTGGTGTGTGTGTCTTTACTGGAAAAAGCAAAAGCAGTCCAGGTTAGCAGGATGCAGGTGGCTGCCGACTCGGAATTAGAAAGGGAAGTGAACAGAAATGGGGGCTTTGTGTTGTGCTGGGAGGGTACTGTGGACTCCGCAGCTCCACAGTGGGCTGCAAAAGTGGGGCACAGAAGACTCCTGGTTTGGGGGAACCAGCTTGTAGGCTCGGAAAGCTCATGATGGGCCGAGCAGGGACCTCCTGAATAAAAGCCCACTCTCTCTGAACGTTAATACTGTGTCCCAGACTGGGAAAAATAATTTGAAGAAAAGCCAGTGGACTGGAAAAAATGGTAAATAACTGTTTTAAAGTCAGGCAATTCTCAGGCTCAGTATCAGTGTTGACGGTTTGCTGTCCCTGACAGACCTCACTGCTTTCTGTTGTCACTTATTTTCCCACTGCCATCTGCAATGTCAGCGGAGGAGTCAGACTTCCAGATCAGTCGTGGTATTTAATCCCTGGGGCTTTATTCATCCCAGCCTTTGCATATTTTCCCTCTAATTATGTTCAGCTCTTCAGCATTGATGGGTACCAGCACCAATTTGATTTCCTGCTACCCTATAGATGCTCTAATTATCTCCACAATCTTTGACTGACAATGATCTTGTTACCTTCTAATGGTACATGACAAGTAAAACAGCGAATATAATGATGCCATAATTACCATTTTGGATGGATATTCACAGCAGCATTTGCTGTTTACCCTTTTGCTGCCTCAGTCAAGGTGGATGAGGGGAAATAAAATGTGATTGTTAGTGTTACATACGAACATAGCATAAGAAGACGTTTAAGAACAGAATCTTGCTGTGCAATTGGCCGTGCAGTTGTGGGATGCTGAAGCCCTCTTGTGTGTTTGTATCTATAATGAAAAACAAATTAGGCCCCAGGGGCATTAAATCAGCTGAAGGAAAGAGGACAGTGAAAAGGACAGGGGCTTTTTCACTTTGCCACCATTTTTTTCCCTACAGATTTCTGAGCAGTTTCTTAGACTGTGGGAGTTTCCTCACAGTCAACTAGGGTTATTTGTCACACAGAGGATTACATCATCAAAGACAATCCCACACTACAAAATTGCTGGTTGTCCTTTGGCACCATCACAAGTACAAAGCAAGCTTTGAGTTGTCTCACCTCTCAATGCTAGAAGCCTCTGATGAGCTTGGGTCAGCAGGCAGGGGGGCCTGTGACCACCCTGTGCCTTCCATTCTCAGTGGCCTTGAGTGATCACAGAACCTCTCGAGCTGTGAATGTGTAAAATGAGACATCTGAACAAAACAGGCCTAAAATAGGCAGGTGGTAAACCCCGTGTACACAGGTTTGGAGAGCTTGGGTGTGTGCATCCCAGGGCCAGTGGAAATTACAGACTGGGAGAGGATGGCCCACAGAGAGTTAAGTGAGGGTTGTTGAGTTTTGTTTTATTTTTTAGAATCATGGCGTTATAAAATTCTTGCTGCGGATTTGCTGGCACACTTGTCAGACCAAAGTGCGTAAGAGGGTGAGTTTGCAGGGTTTCTATCACCCGGGCTCCAGTGTTTCTTACCTGGTCAGAGGAGGGGGAGCAGCAGGGTCTGGCTAGAGCACCCAGAGCATTGTCCTTCAGGTCTGGACCCCATCCTACCCTAACTGCTTCCTGACTCTGTGATGGACACAATGTGGAGTGTAGCTTCTGAGGCCATGTGTGGAAACAGCCCACATGAGGCCTGGAAGAGCGAGCACTGGACCAGAAGGCTTCAAAGCTCAGGTTTGTGTCCTTGGCAGGTACTGGGCAGATCGGCCTCAGTTTCTTCAGCTGCAGCTTGAGTTTGTTGCGGGTACTTAAGGCTTCTTCAAGCTCTGTTCAGGTTTTGTACCTTTGTTGGTCTTGGGTTACCTTTCAAGACCTTACTTCCTCACGCTCTGTACCATTCATTCCTCTGCTACTTGGCAACTTCCTATCTCTGTATCTGCAGCATGAAAAGACCCTAGTGTCCAAGTCAGCCACCTTACAAGGTCGGGCTCAAAGCCATCCCCATAAAGCTTCGCTGAGTGCCCGTTTCCTGCTGATCTCTCCTTAGGAAGCCTCCTGGGATTCAGCTTGCTTTCCATGCTCCCTGCTCCCCTCCACTCAGCCCTTGCTCTTCTGGGGTTCCACAGGGTCCCTTCTTGCAGGATTATTGGCCCCTCAGGGTAGGGTGTGACCAGCATATGTCTCAGGCAAAGCCCTGAGCTTGATGCTCCAGGCAGGTAGAGGCCATTTCTGAGTTGGTTTGGGGAGCAGAAGACTGCCTTGAGCCCTGGCTCCAAAACCTTTCTGACCCACTTACGTCACAACACAGCACATGCACACACACACAAACCTGAGATAGTTTGGATGAAACAGTACCCCTGTTATGTGCAATGAACTGTAATTTGTTTATTCCAGTCTTTTACTCATTTTTTTTTATCAAGGCATCATTGATATACAATCTTATAAAGGTTTCACATGAGCAACACTGGTTACTACATTCACCTGTATTATCAAGGAACCCCACACGCACCATTGCAGTCACTGTTCATCAACGCAGTAAGATGTTAAAGAGTCAATACTTCTGAATGCTATACTGTCTTCCCTGTGACCCATACATTACGTGTGCTAATCATTATGCTTCTCAATCCTCTTCTCCCTCCCTCTGCAACCCCTTCTCTTTGGTAACCGCCAGTCCTTAGTCTGTGAGTCTGCTCCTGTTTTGTTCCTCCAGTTTTGCTTTGCTGTTATACTCCACAAATGAGGGAAGTCACTTGGTACTTATCTTTCTCTGCCTGGCTTATTTCACTGAGCATAATACCCTCTAGCTCCAACCATGTTGTTGCAAATGGATATACATGAATAATATTCCTTGTGTATATACACCACTTCTTCTTTATCCATTCATCTACTGATGGACACTTAGGTTGCTTCCGTATCTTGGCTACTGTAAATAATGCTACAATACACATAGGGGTGCATATGTCTTTTTGAATCTGGGATCCTGTTTTCTTTGGATAAATTGCTAGGACTGGAATTGCTAGATAAAATGGTATTTCAATTTTTAGTTTTTTGAGGAACCTCCATAGTACTTTCCACAATGGCCGAACTAATTTACGTTCCCACCAACAGTGTAGGAGGGTTCCCCTTTCTCCTCATCCTTGCCAGCATTTGTTGTTCCTAGTCTTTTCGGTGTTGGCCATCCTAACTGGTGTAAGTAATATCTCATTGTGGTTTTAATTTGCATTTCTCTGATGTTTAGTAATGTGGAGCATCTTTTCATGTGCCTGTTGGCCATCTGAATTTCTTCTTTGGAGAAGTGTCTGTTCAGATCCTCTGGCCATTTTTTAATCAGGTTATTTGTTTTTTGGGTGTTGAGGCCTGTGAGTTCATTATGAATTTTGGATGTTAACCCCTTATCAGATATGTCATTTAGGAATATATTCTCCCATACTGTAGGATACCTTTTTGTTCTGCTGATGGTGTCCTTTGCTATACAGAAGCTTTTTAATTTGATGTAGTCCTATTTCATTGTTGGTTTTGTTTCCCTTGCCTGAGGAGATGTGTTCAGGAAAAAGTTGTTCATGTTTATATTCAAGAGATTTTTGCCTATGTTTTCCTCTAAGAGTTTTATAATTTCATGACTTACATTCAGGTCTTTGATCCATTTTGAGTTTACTTTTGTGTATGGAGTTAGACAATAATCCAGTTTCATTCTCTAACATGTAGCTGTCCAGTTTTGCCAACATCAGTTGTTGAAGAGGCTGTCATTTCCCCATTGTATGTCCATGGCTCTTTTATCATCTTAATTGGCCATATATGTCTGGGTTTATATCAGGGCTCTCTATTCTGTTCCATTGATCTATGGGTCTGTTCTTGTATGCCAGTACCAAATTGTTTTGATTACTATGGCTTTGTAGTAGAGCTTGAAGTTGGGAAGCAAGATCCCCCAGCTTTTAGTTTTTTGAGGAACCTCCATAGTACTTTCCACAATGGCCAAACTAATTTACGTTCCCACCAACAGTGTAGGAGGGTTCCCCTTTCTCCTCATCCTTGCCATCATTCTTCCGTGGTTCCATATGAATTTTAAAACTATTCGCTTTAGTTCATAGAAGAATTGCATTGGTATTTTGATAGGGATTGCATTGAATCTGTAGATTGCTTTAGGCAGGATGGTCATTTTGACAATATTAATTCTTCCTCTCCATGAGCACAGGATGTATTTCCACTTATTGCTGTTTTTAATTTCTCTCATGAGTGTCTTGTAGTTTTCAGGGTATAGGTCTTTTACCTCCTTGGCTAGGTTTATTCCTAGGTATTTTATTCATTTTGATGCAATTGTAAATGGAATTATTTTCTTGATTTCTCTTTTGCCAGTTCATTGTTAGTATATGGGTATGTCACAGATTTCT